ATCTCTACTAAAAATACATAAAAAATTAACCGGCCATGGTGGTGAGCAACTGTAATCCTAGCTACTCAGGAGGCTGAGACAGGGGAATCACTTGAACCTGGGAAGCAGAGGTTGCAGTGAGCCGAGATTGTGCCACTGCACTCCAGCCTGGGTGACAGAGCAAGACTCCATCTTGAAAAAAAAAAGGAGAGAGAGTTTCAAGATCAAAATTGTCAAAATCAGTGAAGCTTCGTTAAAGACTTTACCAAGGCTGGGCACGGTGGCTCACACCTGTAATCCCAGCACTCTAGGAGGCAGAGGTAAGGCGGATCACCCCAGGTTGGGAGTTCCGGACCACCCTGACCAACGTGAAGAAAACCCATCTCTATTAAAAATACAAAATTAGCCAGGCGTGGTGGCAGGTGTCTGTAATCCAGCTACTTGGGAGGCTGAGGCAGGAGAATCGCTTGAACCCGGGAGGCACAGGTTGCAGTGAGCTGAGATTGCACCATTGCACTCCAGCCTTGGCAACAAGAGCAAAACTCCGTCTTAAAAAACTAAAAAAGGAAAGAAAAAAGCGGGGGGGACTATCCCGCATTCACTGGACTTAGCAAAAAATAAAGGTCACCTAGCAAATGCCCTTTCAGTACTGTGGTCAGGGCTGGAAACCAGATGAATGAATGGAAGATGGGAAGTGCAGGCTTTCAGAAACCCAGCTGGGAATGGAAAGAGGGAGAGAGAGATATTAATAGATGGTATTGGAAGAGGACCCAGGAACAAGGGTGCTTTTTTTAAAAAATAGATGTGTGCATCTAAAAATATGCAGTGGTAAAGAGCCAGTAAAGAATAAAAGCAAGTAGAAAGTAAGGAGTAAGAAGTGCGGGTGGGATGATGGGGGAAAAAAATTAAGAGGGTTCTTAACTTAAGGCCAATACTCCCTCTTGAAAATAAAAGGATATTATTTACTATGTGATGCTAAAGATATATGAGAAAAAAAATGATCAAACAGCTGACTTAAACGGTGAGAGTGAATTGTTTAGAGAGCCTATCTCCATAATTGTGCCCTGATTCCATCCCTAATACTGGTCAATCACCTTCTGTTTCTAGCTGGTCCTACTGGAATAAAACAAGAGGTATGGAATCAGAAAAGCACAGCAGTGGAAGACACTCACTGACAGAATGGAAAAATAGAGGCGCAAGGTGGATACATGGCTGCCTACACCACACTAAAAGAGTATGAAAACAGCAAACTATAAAGACTCATTTTCTTTTTCTTTTGTTCTTTTTTTTGAGATAGAGAGTTTCGCTTTTGTTGCCCAGGCAGGAGTGGCATGAGTACAATGGCACGATCTTTCTGCTCACCGCAACCTCACCACCTCCCAGTCTCGGAGCGATTCTCCTGCCTCACATCCTCCCGAATAGCTGTGATTACAGCCCATGTGCCACCACACCGCGGCTAATTTCTTGTATTTTAGTAAGAATTGGGGTTTCTCGGCGGGCACGGTGGCTCAAGCATGTAAATCCCAGCCACTTTGGGAGGCCGCGATATGCCGGATCACAAGGTCAGGAAGATCCGAAGACCATGCCCCTGGCTAACACAGTGGAAAACCCCGTCTCCCTACTAAAAAATACAAAAAACTAGCCCGCGAGGTGGCGGGCGCCTGTAGTCCAGCTACTTGGGAGCTGAAGGCAGAAGAATGGCGTATAAACCCACCACAGGCAGGCGGAGCTTCGCATAGTGAGCTCGAGATCCAGCCACTGCCAACCCCAGCTGGGCGACAGAGTGAGACCTCCATCTCCAACAAATAAAATACATACTAAATACTTAAAATAGAAATGGGGTTTCTCATAATCGGTCAGGCGGTCTCCCAATCCACCTCAGGTGATCTGCCCATCTATCACTTCCCCAAAGTGCCGGATTACAGCGTGAGCCCACTGTGCCCAGCCAGTAAGATGACCATTCTCTTTCTTTTTTTTTTTTTTTCGGCGCGTTGCCCCAAGCTGGAGCGCAGGTGATGCCAATCTCCCAGCTCACTGCAACTCCCCTCTGGTTCAAGTGACTCCTGCCTCAGCCTCCTGACGCTAGGCTGCCACAGACCCTGCCACCACACCCAGCTAATTTTTTGTAATTTCAGCTAATGTTTTTTTCATTTTTTTTAAACGGGGTT